GATATTAATAAGAAATGTATCTTCAGCAGCAAAACAGCATATTAGAATGATTTCTGAAGAATCATGTGACACTGAAGACTGGAGTAATGATGCTGAAAATTCAGCTTTGATCACAGGAATAAATTACATTTTAAAACATATTAAAATGATAAATAGATAAAACTGTTATAATAAATAGTAAACTGTTACATTTTAAAGGCCAAATGGCTGATATAACACTGTTATAATACTTAAATTCAATTTCATTAAAGCAAATCAACAGTTTCTGTAAAAATTAACAATATTTATCTAGATTCACAATGAAAAATTTAACACAAAAAATTGGCATTCAAAATGTTCAGGATTATTATATGATAAATTAACTGTTTAGCTATTTAGTTTCCCAATTTGTAAAGGCAAGTATTGGTATGATTTTAATACACTTTTTATATTCCTGCAAGTCTGACGTTTGGCTAGAAATCGTTCATCTATATATGAAACATCCTCTGACCCTCTTTTATGTGCTCAACGCAATCAAACAAAAGCAAAGCATACCATTTAAAAGCCAAAATATCTGACACAAGTGCAAACTGCCATCTAGAGAAAAGCCACATAGGGAAAAAAGCATCCATGTTCAGGTCTGAGTCCAGCAGTGACTTCTCAAACCAGAAACCTGAGCATTTCAGGAACAGCCTGTTTATCTGAAAGCTTTTCTGTTCTGAGAAGATCTCTGCTCCATCACACCCAAAGTGCATCTCAATAACCCTCATTACGGCGACATACAATATTTACAAACAGTAAACAGAGCTTCAGGACAGACGCATACAGGAAGAATGATGGATTGTACAAATCACTCAACACGAAGGCATCGATTTCCTCCAAATCAATTTAGGCTGAAATATAATTATATTGGAAATGAGTTGTTGTTACAAATCTGCTCCGAATGAACATTGGATTGTACACAACACTGCTTCACTGTACTGCAACAAGAGAAAAAATAACATTATCTCTAATAACTCACTTTTTGTACTAATACATTATGTTGATGCAACTAAATTACAGATCAAAACAGACTAAAAGAGTTTTTTTCCAAGCAAACCGTTCTCACAAAAAGCTTTAAAGAGTGATTTCGCCAATTCAAAATCACTTGCCTGTTGTGTCCCGCAGCTCTATCGGTCCTACACTCCTGCTCTGACAATCTCTCTGAAACTTCTCTTCATCCCTCCACGTTCAGAGGGGCATGTTGTTGTACTACTACATTATGTTGATGCAACTAAATTACAGATCAAAACAGACTAAAAGAGTTTTTTTTCCAAGCAAACCGTTCTCACAAAAAGCTTTAAAGAGTGATTTCGCCAATTCAAAATCACTTGCCTGTTGTGTCCCGCAGCTCTATCGGTCCTACACTCCTGCTCTGACAATCTCTCTGAAACTTCTCTTCATCCCTCCATGTTCAGAGGGGCATGTTTTCCCAGTCTCCACCCTGCGCTCTAATGGTGATGCTTGTGGTGGAGACCTGGCAGGGGAAAATCTCTTCTACATGCTCCCAGAGACAGTAAATGGATGGCTTGGCTGGCTCCGCTCCGCGTGTCCCCTGCCCTGCCTCCTTGCTATTTCCAGCCTTGACTCCTGCCTCCAGACCAAGCCTGTATTTTTCTCCCAGGGAGCAGCGGTGCCCGGTCGCAAACAAATTGGTAATGATATGGTTTCAAGGCCTGTTGAGCGTCCCCCCTCCCAGCTCGTGCGGAGGTTAAATTCAGCATCAAAGGAAAGGACAGAAAAAAAACGAAGAGATCCCGCCTCACACTTAAAGAGATGAGAGAAAGGCTTTTCTCCTCGTGCTCCGAGTTGATTATATTATCCCTTTCAGGCACACTCATGCACTTGTGTTTTTGAACTTGCATACTTCACTGAATTTGTAGTACTCCATACTTGTCGTTTGCATAAAAACATGTGCTAAATAAATTATGTGAATACACAATTGCATACGACACTAACATACACTTCCTGGAAAATTTTGTGGATGTGGATTCAAAGCCAATCTTTAGAAATTACCGTTTAAAATTTAACCACTGTAAAAAGTGGCATTTGCTACCTTACGGAGTTATTTCTACCTGTTCTGATGTCTTTAGTTTATGTATTTTAATGTATTTAGTTGATTCAGACTTGAATACAAACATGATGTTGACATGAATTAACAAACTAATTGTCAGTTTTGAAAGCTGACAGAGGTAAATATAGTGAAATATGCCAGAAAGTGAATTTTGAAGGACATTTGAAGCGATTCTCACTATTTGAAAGGTGTTTAAATTACTCAAAAACATTTTTTTAAACTTCAAGTCTACCGATATCAACAGGTTTGTGCAGGTTTAAGGTCTGAGTTTAGCAGACATCATCACCTCTATGAGATGTCTTCACTGATATAGTGAAACCAACATGTTTGTTTGTGTGTGTGTGTGTGTGTGAGTGTGTAACCATACAGTTATCTTCGGCTGTAAATTATGAACTATATACACACCCTGGTTTTAGGGGATGCCTCCTTGGTTGGGCCTAAACCACGGTGCCTCTCCCGAGTGAATTGATAGCTGTATAGGAGAGATGATGGCTGCAATTTAATGATCTGAAGTTGAGATATTACATGTTAGAAACAGTGTACCTTTGTAATGTAAAGAAGCTTTTCAAGATTAGATGTATTCACTAAATAGGACTATGGACTCTGAACATTAAGCAAATAAAAAAAAAAAATCTCAGAATATAATCAGAATGATCTAACAGGATTATTCTATAGAGAAATCCCATCACTGGCAAAAAATTCTTCCAGAATTACAGCTTTACGTCACAGTTAACACTCTTTAATTTCTAATGCAATCTCAATACAATCAGCTTTAAATTAGAGGTCATAAACTGACAGATTTATTACTAAAAAAAACGTAATAAAGACGAAACGTTACCTTTTTCAGGTCGCATCTCGACCTCTGCAAAGCCTGTAGGCCTATTTTATTTATCTTTAATAGAAATCGCGATATTTTATCTTTATTTAAAGCGAGACTGATTTTAGGAGACCAAAGAAATATGTTCTTTGTCAAAACCCGCATTTGGGATGCAAAAATGGCTTTAATTTTGGGCCATTGTAAGATTGATTAAATTAATAGGCTAAACATAATCACGATTCCATACTTCATGGTATGGTAAGGGACGATTTTTGAAAGAGACATACATTCTTTGTACCTGCCTGGGAGTTTATACAGCCTACTCTTTTCAGTTGTTTATTTAAACGTTTCAATGACAACAAAAGTAAGATTTTTTTATTTAGCCTATTTATTTTCACCCGTAGCTACTCGCTGCGTTGGCATGAGGAGGTAACCATAGCAACGGAACGTTAAATACCATGGTGAAAAAAACAACAAATAAGTTAACTCTAGTGACTTTTCTTTGACACCTTAGGCCACATCCACACGAAGCAATAACTAAAAAAAAAAAAAAAACGATGGTTGAGATGACTGAGACGGACTCTACATTTGTGAGATGGGCATACTGCGGGGTCAGAGAAGAGAAAGAATGCGGCGGACGAGCAACAAATTAAGTTTAACTAAAAATAACACTCTGTTTTTATTAAATCATAGTCTACATATAAAAGGAATTAATACGCGAAATATATATTGACTTAAATAATTAACAGATTAACAAAACGAAATTACGGAGTAGGCTATTTTATGTTTCCGCTGTTCGATCGCGCCAGCACCTCACGCACAAACATACAGCATTGCAAACGTTGCAGCCGTTCATTATCAGAATAAAATACAGTCAACCAAATATAGATACACTGGTTAATTAAAATCGTCCGTACAATCCGTGTCGTTCAGCCTGAGCTCAGGCCAAGCACATATTTGTTCATGTGAAGAGTGTGATTTATTTATTTATTTATTTTGCAGAAAGCACGTTAAGTACAAAATGATATGATGATAGTGGCGGCTGCGTGAGAACAAAGGCATTTGCCTTCAGTTTCGCTTTAAATTCATTCGTTTTGGCTTGTTTAGCAATTTATATTTTTCATTCTTGTTTTGTTCTGAATACAGTTCAGTTTAAAGGATTTGTTGTGGAGTGAGGAGAACTAAAATAGCCTATAGGCTTGCTATGTAACTATTACTTTCAAAAGCCAGTAATAAGTAATAGCCTATATAATGTATTACATTTTGGAAGTAACTTGCCCAACACTGGGGGTGGGACAAAATATCTATATGGCGATATATCGTCGTCTTTCTCCATGTGATACTTTACGAGAACCGATACACTGGTCCAAATATCGATATTTTAATTAATACAATAAAGTTGCTCTAAATAGATTTTCCTGTTCCCAGCGTCTAAAAAAATGCGCCTACAAAAACAGGTACAAAATCATTAAAAAAAATCGAACACAGTTTAGTTTATATTATAATTCACGCACTGCTCGTTAGATCAATTATGTGTCGATAATTAAAAATAGTTTTGTGCAGCATAGTTTTTAACATCTGCAAAATGAACAGAAGTCTCGGTTTGCAACGTTTCCCCCTGTAAATAACTTAATTACTGGAATAATGCCATACAGTGAATGCTACATGCCTCAGTGTATATATATATATATATATATATATGGTCGCCGTGATTTTGCCAAGTAAGACATGTTCCTGGATCAACATCTTTTGTTGATCCTGGATCAACATAACTGTCCAAAAATATAGACTTAACCCAATCCCTACCCCTAAACCTAACCATACCCATAATTTATTTCTAAAAAGTGAAATGATAGCTGATTAACAAGGGTGTAGAAGCACCTAACCCTGATCGTAAGCCTAAAACAGATATTTCCTGAAAAGTTATCCCTCAGTTCTGATTGGTTGATAGGAATGTTGTTCCAGGATCAACAAACAATTGGTGTATATATATATATATGAATGCTACATGCCTCATATTATATATAAAAAACCGACTGACGCAAGTCAAGTAAAGCGTGTGTGGAACTCAAACGCGCTTGTCGGTTTATAGGACTATTTTTAATGTAACACCGAGAGTTTCACATGTGTTTACTAGTGGATGTTTTGCTCAATTCAAACACTGTATGTAAGTACATTTCACATTCTTTTGTAATTTCTTTTTTCATTTGTCAGTTTTCATTGATTGTTGTGCTGACATGATTTGACATTTTGTTCATAACACTGCACATAACACTAAAGTCTGTCCCTGGTATGATGCTTCCTAAACGTTCAGATTTTACATTTTAATGTGTCCATTCTTTTATTTTGCAGATTTCAAGTTCATCATGTGGTCTCCCCTCCACTAGACTGTCAGAATGAAGCAAACCGAGCCACAAAAAGACAGAGAGAGCCTCTATCTGGAGGTGACCACTGTGAATGGAGCCGTGTCTCTTCCGCTGCACTCCTCTATTGTCCTCTTCCTCCTGTCCTACACAGAGTGCGCATCCTTCCATGTCTACCTGGTCACAGATCAAGCAAGTATCCTGTCGCCCCTATCAGGTCTAGTGCCCGGGGGTCTGGCTGTCTCTGAAGTGAGGAGGGACGAGCTGCCAGGGCTGGTTAGGATGTGCCGTCTTCCGGCTGCGCTGGAGCCTGGCGCTTGCTTTTGCAGAGCCGGCCTAGCTGTCGTACTGAGACACATCATTCAGAGAGCATGCCAGCTGATGCCAGGCCGTAGGGATGTGGCGTCACTCTTGGGCTTCAAGAATACCTGTCTCAAGGCTTGTGCTGAGGTGAGATTACAGGTTAAAAACAACCAGAGGATAAATGCTTAAAATCCAGATGAGTAGTCAAAAGTTTGAACTAATAGTGTAGCTGTAGGGTGACAAGCATGTTGACATGTTTTGACAGGCGCAATCACTTAAATTTTGGAGTTCAGCATCACAGAATCACACATTCACATGTTGACATTTGAGCTCAGCGTTTGCAGATAGTAGCTATAAGGCATTAACAGAGCAAAAAACAAACTTGGGTTGCTCTCCTGTTTGTTTTTTCGCTGTTTTTAGAGCCTTGGGCTGTCAGTGGGACAGGTGTGATGTCTCAAGACACCTATTTCAGTCATGTCTGTCGGATATTAGAAAATACCTTAAGGCAATTTTTATAAGTGTGTTTTCCATTTTTGGGAAGTTGTGTGTCAGTCAGCCTATGACAAATTCAGATATATGCCATGGGTCATATCGGATCATTTGGACAACAAATAAGAACCAGAGAAACAAATATGGAGTTATTGTGTCTTTAAGGGAATGCAGTGTTGTTATTGTTAAATAAAACTATTATTGATTTTGGTAATTAAAATTAAGTCAGTGAAAATAAATAAAATATAAATATCAGATGGATAAACGTAAACTTAAGAAACTTAAAATGAAAATTTTAAATGTTTCCTTGGCAACTAACTGAAATAATGTAATTTTAAGTTGAAGTAGAATTGCAAAAACTCTAAAACCAAAATACATGAAAGGTAAATAGAAATATTTAAGAAAAAAAACGTATAAAAATACCAAAAAAATTCTACAAAAATAAAGTATGGCAAAAAAAGATATTAAGCATAAAAAATTCATTATTGATATTAAGAAATACTTCTTGAGCACTAAATCAGCATATCTGATTTCTGAAGGATCATGTGACACTGAAGACTGGAGTAATAATGCTGAAAATTCAGTTTTGCATCGCAGAAATAAATTACATTTTAAAATATAATTAAATCGAAGTTAGTTATTTTAATTTGTAATAATATTTCACAATATTACTGTTTTTACTGTATTTTTGATCAAATAAATGCAGCCTTGGTGAGCCTAGGAGACTTCTTTTAAAAGACCAGTCTAAATTAAAATTAAAATCGAAAAATATAGGAAAAAGTATAAAAAATATAAAAAAGCTCATTCAAAATATTTATAAATACTATAATAGTATGTAAATAATGCTAAAAAAGCACAGGTTTACTGTAGAGATGAACAATATGTGCACCATATTCATTATTGGCCAATATTTACATCTGCCGTTATTGCATATTTAACTGTTTCTGCTTGTTTTAAGATTAATATCAATTTTCCAGCTCTAATTTAAAGGGATAGTTATCAATTATGGCAAAAATGTAATCCTTTTTATGTGCTTTAATTATTTAAATTTGTTAACAAAATAGTATCAGTTTGTAACATCAGCCATTTATCAGTTATTGACCAGTTATGTAAGTAATTATCAGATTTTCAGTATAAGCCTCAATTTTAATATCAGTACATTGTTAGTTTGCTTAATTATACGAAACTCTGGAAATGTACAAAGGCATGCCACAGTATCCGTTCATATAATTCATGGGTCGTACATCACATTTATCGGTTATTAAAAGATTTCTAACCGTCTTTGCTTCTCAGGTGAGTCAGTGGACTAGACTGTGTGAGCTGGACATTCCCTCTACAGTGGACCGACACTTACAAAACCCTGAAGACCAGATGTGTCGACTTCCTGCTGCGATCCTGAACTTAGAAAAGAGGTTAGGGAAACCCGTCAAGGTCCACAATGATGACAAGATACGCCGACAGAAGCTACAACAGCAGAAGAAGGGCGATTCTCAACTAAAAGGCCCTAATACAGAGACGGAGAGTCATCCGAATGAATCACATCCAGGTGTTGAGCTCACTGCTGCTCTGGCGAAGCTCTCTGCAGATGCAGTTCCTGCTCCCTCCACCAGGGAGCGCTCTGACATCAGGAAAGTCAAGACCACAGATTTGCCAGAGCTGGAGCATGTGTTTGCAGAAGGGCTCTATTTCACTCTCACTGATGTTGTCCTGCTGCCCTGCGTCCATCAATACCTGGTAAAACAAACAAATCGAAAGCAGTTTTTATCTCATTACTTATAAATCACAATTCCTCACAAAGAGAGCCAGTCATTCATTCATTTTAGCAGTAGGCTCACAGGTGCTTTCAAGTTATGTCAAACACAGACGTCTCTTGTGCCTCTTTGACTTCTCCTACTTCAAGGTGATTCTCTCAGTCCTGCATTAAATAAGGCCGGTAGTTTCTGTTGCAATTGAAATGGATCAGTGTTGCGTGGGACGGTGAATTAGATTCTTTGCGCTGCAATGTCCCTGAACTCTTTCAGTCTTAAGAGCTTGACGCAGTCTGACACCAGTGTTTGTTAGACTATTACTCTTGAGAAGCAGAAAATCTGTGGCAGTGGATTTAATAAAGGCCTGTTCTCATCAAGAATGGTAGCTATAAGGATAACTGCATTAGTGACTACACCAACAGAGGGTAACAGTCAGAATGTTATCATCTGTTGGTGGAGACACTAATAAAATAAAGCAGTAGGCAGCATTATTGCAGTTATATCGCCTGCCAAACAATAACAATATAACTATGAAGTTTTTAATCATTCTAAAGGCCCGTTCACACCAAGCACGATAACTATAAAGATAACGATAAAGATATAGTTCTAAAAATCGTTCTCAATAATAAAGAATGGCAGAGTCCACACCCCAACTATAACGATAATGGCAGAGAGAAACAATATCGTTGGAATCATTTCTAAGCGATTTTTTTTTTCCAGCTGATGAACGATAAAAACATTGACAGCCAATCAGAATCAATCCTGTTATAACGAGCTCAAGAATTTAAAGCGGCAGAAGAGCATGCGCTTGGAATAAACAGACGATATCGTCCGCTGGTGTGGACGCTAATATCGTTATCGTTCTTGGTGTGAACGGGGCTTAATTCTATGAAAATAGTGACGTACACACCACAGCCATAATGGTAATGATACAGAGGAAAAATATTGTTGGAATCACTTTCAAAACATATTTTTTTTCCTGCTGATGAAGTATAAAATCACTGACAGCCAGTCAGAATCCTCCACTGCATACAGTTATTAGACTCTTTTCTTCGTTTGGTTGGAGGTGTTAAAGGAATAGAGTACAACAGTTCTAGAAAAATCCCATTTGTTTTTTTTTTTTAATTTGATTTTGAATGAAAACTTAAAAACCTTTAAAGTCAGACCTGCTGTGAGGTTATTGATCGGTGGTATATGCTTTTTTTTTTTTTTTTGAAGTTGTCAGGTGAAAACTACATTACCTAGGATTCTGCAGAGAAATCTTAACTAATCAGAGAACCTAAAACAAGCAAATCATGCTAAAAGAACATTTTAGCACCCATCAACTCACTGCAAATGACGTAAGTCAGTTTCCCAACAGTCTCAAACTACTTACTATTTGCATAACTATGAATATTTTGCAATAAACTTAAAGGGGTCATCGGATGCCCATTTTCCACAAGTTATGATTCTTTAGGGTCTTAATGAAAAGTCTATAGCATACTTTGGTTAAAATTTCTCAATGGTAGTGTAAAAAACACCCCTTTTTACCTTGTCAAAATCAGCTATATAACAAAAAAATCTTTTTTTTGCTTGTTTCTTTAAATGCTAATGAGCTCTGCTGACCCCGCCCCTCTCTTGGGGTGACAAGTGTGCTCTGAGAGACTGTTTACTTTAGCCAAAGCCACTAGATGAAGTTCTTTCCCTTGTAAAGCCATTACACAGTTTACACAGTCTGAAACGACCTCAGTTTTTATTCTTAAACGTTGATTTTAAAAAAAAAAATGTTGGGGTCATATGATTTTTTTTTTTGTATCCTGAGAGAGATAGGGGGGCAGGATTGGGAAGAGTCCTCGGGTCGGGATTCGAACTCGGGACAACCGTAGCGCGGCGGCGCTTTATGTCGGCACGCTGTCCACAAGGCTATCACCACCGACTCCTGATTTCAGTTTTGACTTCAGTTTTATAATGTTGTGATTCACCTTCTAAAAAATTAAGCTCAATGGACAGCATTTGTGGCGTAATTTTGATTACACGTTCCTCATTTTCTTTAAACAAATAAAGATGTAGGATACAGTAAGGCATTTAAAATTTCTCAATGGTAGTGTAAAAAACACCCCTTTTTACCTTGTCAAAATCAGCTATATAACAAAAAAATCTTTTTTTTGCTTGTTTCTTTAAATGCTAATGAGCTCTGCTGACCCCGCCCCTCTCTTGGGGTGACAAGTGTGCTCTGAGAGACTGTTTACTTTAGCCAAAGCCACTAGATGAAGTTCTTTCCCTTGTAAAGCCATTACACAGTTTACACAGTCTGAAACGACCTCAGTTTTTATTCTTAAACGTTGATTTTAAAAAAAAAAATGTTGGGGTCATATGATTTTTTTTTTTGTATCCTGAGAGAGATAGGGGGGCAGGATTGGGAAGAGTCCTCGGGTCGGGATTCGAACTCGGGACAACCGTAGCGCGGCGGCGCTTTATGTCGGCACGCTGTCCACAAGGCTATCACCACCGACTCCTGATTTCAGTTTTGACTTCAGTTTTATAATGTTGTGATTCACCTTCTAAAAAATTAAGCTCAATGGACAGCATTTGTGGCGTAATTTTGATTACACGTTCCTCATTTTCTTTAAACAAATAAAGATGTAGGATACAGTAAGGCATTTACACTTTACTGAAACAGTAAAAATATATGACGTTACACACACTGATATACATATACTGTTTCAATGGTGTATCCACACAACCTAAACAATATGTATTTTGGTGTAATTTTAGTGTGAAAGAATCACTTGCTAACTTTTTTGTGTAAAGCTATATCCAGTTTGACAACGTAATGCGTTAAACCCTAAAATCCTAAGACTGTTTCAAAGAATAATTGATGTGCCTTTATAAAATTATAAGCATCACATTTCTGCTTTTAAATCTATCAAAAAATGGCCCCATTCACTTCCATTGTAATTGCCTAGCTGTACTCTCCAGTTTGGTTTTGTGAAGAATAAGAGGGATGACCTGAAATGACTTAATGCCACACATATGTGAGCATACAGCAATTTAATATTCTTTTAATGCTTATTTTGAATTTTATTACTATTTTTGATGATTTACATTTCAATTAGACATACATAACTGCTATTATTGCTCATCCCCAGGGTTGTGGACAAGAATGATACCTTAATGTATTCTAGACATAGACGTCCACACCACAGATGTACTTTGAAGTGATAGCTAGGGAGCAGAATATCATGGAGACTTTGTCCCTTCAGAAACCCTGTGGTGTGTCTTTGAGGTGAAGTTTGTGTGTGTCTGTCATCCATTTCTCTCTCCTCTCTGCATTGTTCATTCTCCTCCTGTCGTTCTCTCGCTCTTGGCTCTCTGTGGTCAGTGGCGCATCGGTGCCTCCTAGTTTCACACTCCGTCTAGCATGTCTCCCTCCTTCTGTCCTCCTCATCCCTTTCTCTCAGTCTTTCCTCTGTGGAGCGATGATAGAGCGTCGCAGCTCTGGAGCTGATCTCGGTTCAGTGGGCACAACACTTTGATGGGTTACTTAAATCACAGCGCCTCGCTGTCAGTGTGCATTTATTAATATGCATTCATGCTTTTTAGAAAACTCCACAGGAGCACAACGTACACGTACACGCACATATCTATCTATATTAAGAATTTTGCATTAAGAAAATGTTGACCATATTTAGAACTGTTCTAAAGATTGAATGTTTTGTGTTGTAATATTTTTAATGACAGCAATGCAAAATCTCTGTGGTCAGTGGCGCATCGGCGCCTCCTAGTTTCACACTCCGTCTAGCATGTCTCCCTCCTTCTGTCCTCCTCATCCCTTTCTCTCCGTCTTTCCTCTGTGGAGCGATGATAGAGCGTCGCAGCTATGGAGCTGATCTCGGTTCAGTGGGCACAACACTTTGATGGGTTACTTAAATCACAGCGCCTCGCTGTCAGTGTGCATTTATTAATATGCATTCATGCTTTTTAGAAAACTCCACAGGAGCACAACGTACACGTACACGCACATATCTATCTATATTAAGAATTTTGCATTAAGAAAATGTTGACCATATTTAGAACTGTTCTAAAGATTGAATGTTTTGTGTTGTAATATTTTTAATGACAGCAATGCAAAAAATATTATTAAATTATTTAATATAAACATTTGTGTATATGTATATATTAAATAGCTTACGTTAAAGTCTTACAAATAATTCCAAGATGCATGAATATTTTGCAATTTAAATATCTTTTTTGCATTGCATTGCAATAAGTGTGCTTAATTGTCATACAAAATATTACTATACAAACCATTTGATCTTTAGAACAGTCCTAAATATCATCATTTTCTTAATGCAAAATATAATTTCATATGGCAATTTCATACCCAGACTTATTTTTGATATTTTAATATAATATAATATAATAAATATAATATAAAGTCTTTCCGTTCCAGATCTCCCTCCAAAAGCACACCCCCTCCACCCTCTCCCATCTCCCTTTGCTGCTGAGATGGTACCAGCGTGTACAGGAGCTCCCCAGCATACTGAGGGCTGCAAAGGATTGTGGGATGGCCCTCCTCAGTCTCAGCACGGTTGACCCTTGCCCTCCCCAGCTGGAGGCCCTACAACCCAGTGGAGCAAAGCAGGAAGGGCCAAAACTCAAGCAAGAGCCCTTCGTCGGGGGCCCGCGGCTAACTCTCTCCAAACTGCAAGTAATTGAATTTCACTCACTTTTTCTCCCGCTCTCTTGCTCTCTTAATTTATTCTCCTTGTTCCTCTTTCCCTAACTCGTCCCGCTCACGGAAGGAGATTACACATGCCGCGCACAGAAGCGCTTCTCTTTGCCACTTCACTAAACCTGTCAGTGGCGAACTCACATAATCCCTAAACGGCGATCTGCTCTCAATACGTTCAGTGCTGTGCTCTCGTCCCCTTACGGCAGCCCTGTGTGCCACTGCGGGCCTGAACCACGATGATAAAGGATTTATGCACTCCAGCGAGGCAGAACAGCAGCCGTACTGACTCGCTCTTAACTGATGGGACTCCCTGCCACTTGATACTTTAAGGAGGCTGGTATTACGGGGCTGTCTGACTCCGACAAGCGCTGCGATTTCTTTCAGCTGTGTGTCTGACGTTCATTAGTTGTGGTAAAGAATATGTGGAGGGTTATAACGGATAAACCTTAACATATAATGAAATGCTTACATTTATCATGAAATGTTCTAATCCGTAAATAAAAGAAAGCATTCACGAGATTCATTTAAAAAGAAATTAATGTGATCAGTAACCTAATTTCATGCGTAAGCAGATCAAAAGAACACGAGAAACAGGAATTCAGTGCACATTTGCTTATTTTTCTTCATAAAAATAAGATATTGCAGAAAATAAATATGGATTTTGTAGTTCTTCACACTTCTGCAGACTGTAAATCACAATTATTAATATCATCGCTATTTATATACGCCAAAAATTGTGTTGAATTGAATAGTTGTTTATTTTGCCACTAGATTTTTACAGGAACTTTCATGGGCACAGTGTTCAGTATTTGTACAATATATACACTACTACTTTTTTCAGCAAAGTTGCATTAAATTGATCAAAAGTCACATTAAAGAATTTTACATTGTCACAAAAAAAAAAAAATCTGCAGCTGCTCATCTATTTACTTGTTCAACCTTGATAATTATAAAAGTTTCTTGAGCATCAAATCAGCATATTAGAATTATTTCTGAAGGATCATGTGACACTGAAGACTGGAGTAATGATGCTGAAAGTTCAGCTTTGCATCACAGTAACAAATTACATTTTAAAATATATAAAAATAGCAAACAGTTCTTTTAAATTGTAGTAATATTTTACTGTATTACTGTTTTACTGTATTTTTCATCAAATAAATGCAGCCTTTCAAAAACATAATAAACTTAACAATCTCAAACTTTCGAACAGTATTGCAACTAGGTATTAAATGTCAAGATTTGTTTTTATTGAAGAGTTTTCATTGAGAACGAATTGGTATTATGGCCTTGAAAATAAATGGCTCTCATGAGTCAAAACTCAAGTCTTCCTCGATTTAAAAAAAGAGAACAATTAAACAAGTTCTATATTTTGGTCCATTAATTTTATTTTAAAAAGAAGTACCAGATTCATTTATCTTCATTGTCTTTAAGAAACCAGTACACCACATGTTTTCATTTAATTAATAGTGATGGATTATATCAAAACTGTGAAAGAAATTATTCTTTTCTCACAGTTCACCTAATTCCATTTTTCTTCTCTTCACAAAGAGGAGATCAATTTTTCAAGCACGTTTGTCCTCCGAGGTGGGCTAACGTTGAACCACAAGTGTACGATGGAGTTTGTTCTTAAACAAAAAGAACCATAGTGATCATATAGCAACGTCTGAAACATTTAACTATATTAACCAAGGTACCTTCTTGTGCAACATAAAAACTAATAGTACACCCGTTTTTGGACATTTACCATGTTATATTCTTTGATCATGGTAAAAAAATAATAATAATTGCATCACACTTAAAAACGTATGTATGTCTTTATAAAAATTATATACGTTATATAATAAAATATTGTTACAAGTGGCTTTTATTTTAAAGAAAGATATTAAAAGCAGTTGATTTAGTGTTTCAATTGGATCGGGGCTACTATATATCAAAAGGCCTTGGTATTACCATCTGATAAGGTTGCTTTATCATGGTACTGCCAATATACTTTTTAAGGGCTGTGTTTACCCCTGTAACTTTGTACTAGTTTGTGGTTTTCCCACCAATTTTACAACTTTGTAAGGCAGTACTATATACAATATTGTTGTTTCTTTATGATGAATCACTTGCTGTAGTCACAGACCCCCATGTTTCCTCACCTTTCCAGATAATAATGCACTCATAAGGCTGTATTTCATGGAAAGCTCCGCTTGTGACATCATTACTGTGTCCTGATGAGTGCTCTCTTTTTCCCAGGAGGAACCGTTGATTCAGTCCATAACCTCCTGTGCAGTCTTCTGCCTGCTTATTCAATTTCCCACCACTTCCATAGCAGACCTGCTGATTTACCTAGCATCTAAACGGCCCACAAACTCCAACAACACTTCATCGGTGAAGAAATATGCCCATAATGAGTAGAGAGCCCACAGTGGTCTCTCATACACTTCTGCTGTACGACTCCCACAGGAGAGGCAAACAGAGTAACAACGCTGGGTCTCTTTTCTGTCTGCCCCGGACCACAGTACTGCAGCCGTGTCCCCAGCAGGTGATAAAAACGCACAGCTGCCGTCGAGTTTTCAGGCCTGCTGCAGAACTTCTCTTCCAGCTTTTCTTGTGTGTGTGTTTGGTGTTTGCCACCTCTGGCATTTAGCAACTATAAATCTGATATTTCCCGTCACGCTAGTGGATATCAATTTGGTGTGTGTGAATGAGTTGGAGCTCAGCAGGCTCTCTTAATGCATAGCAGTCCACTGGGATTTTCCAGGCTGCGTGCTTTCTGCTTTAGGTCTGCTCTGCAGCTGTTGCTGGTGGCTCATTGCTTTAGAGCAAATGACATTTTCATCCGCAGAGCCAAACCTTATGGCCAGCCTGGATTTGTAATGACAGAGCAGCAAACAGAGATGCACCATCACTAACAACTGTGTAACAACCAGATCCAGACCTATTCTAAATCAATAACCAAGAGCATCTCACAAGCTCCAAGATTTATTACGGTTTGTGAATTTAGGTGTGGCTAAAGGGTGTCGTTAGGCATGACACGCAGCAGATTAGCTATATTTGCGTATTATATTGTGCATTTTAGCATGTCTGGAATGTTGTGGTGGCCAATCAGAACCTGGGACTGGAACTCTCCATTTTATAATCGTGTTTTGGGACCGTCTGGACTGATTTTTAATCATTTGCAGGATTCTTAAGTGTTCATTGCACATTTCAAATAAATAAAAAAATGTGCCTACATTGCAAGAAGAGAAATAAATTATTTTTTAAATAAATTATATAAAAGATAATGCGATATTCAGGGGTATTAGAAAGCAGTGCATTATTAGTCTGGGTTTTTTTGTTGTACATTGCTTTTTTTGTGTGTTTTCACTTTATTGATTGTATAATTCTTATGACTTTACAGACCTTTTGTATGTAGACACAGGGCCGTTCTTAGGGGGGTGCAACTGGAGCGGTCACACTGGGCCCGCGCTTAAGGGGGCCCCGCAGCGAAGGGACCGAGGGGTGATTTGTGCAAATTTGTGAAATTTAAATGCCCCCTCGACTGAGGTGCCCTGGCGCCGGCCCTGGACTAGGCTTAAGCCTTGTCTGTGAAACCGGGGGATAGACTGTCTTTTTCTTTAGTCTGATTCTTTAGTCGTCTTTTACATCCTTTTTTTTTTTAAACCTGAATGGTTGAACTATTCGTATAATTACTTATTGTCTGTATGTTTTATCAAACAAAACATTTCCTAGAGGTTTTAACACCAATCTCACTCTGTCTTCACCCCGTTCCACATGAGTTTGTTTGGTAGTTCAGGTTAATTTCATTCTAAACAGGTCACCAAGTTCATCTTGCCAGACTGGTGAAAATTTGTCATTGATACTAAAAAAGTACCCTATAGAGTCCCCCAACACAACACCATATACTTCTGTGTCTGTAGCATTGCATGTATTAGTATTTGGTTTACATCTCATATTCACAATGTGGAATAATCATCATAGCACACATTTTTTATCCATTCCTGTAGGTCTCTTTGATGACTAAGTACCAACTAGGAAACATGTAAAACCAATTATAGGACTTCAACCTTTAAAGGAGTTTCTAAAGTGGGATGAACTGCTCCGTAACAGGTTCCTGATTTAATTACCACCTTGTCTCAGGTGTTCTGAGGAAGTGTGAAAAGTGCTCAGCTTCAGTAAAAAGCTGTTGCCTGGAGGCTTCTGTCGGTAGTCTATGGTTTAACCTGTGTTTATATGTTCTTTTGTCCTGCAGGAGAATGGGATTGATGCTGTTTATGCTGCTCACCCTTGCCCTTCATGGACAGTTGATTGGGAGAGCCTACCGGCAGCTGTCAACCCCACTGAAGGTAACCTTGGGTGTATTTTCCACACAAGTGCAACACAACCCTTCACTCTTAACATGCCAGTTGTGATGAGTATCTTTTTGATTCATATATAATATTTAAATATTTGTGTAGAACTATATTGGTAGTCATGCAGCCGATGCATTTAAACAAAACAAGGTTGTATTGACACAAAGGCATTTCCCCCTTTTTTTCCCCTCATTTATTCCTTGTCTCCCTCTACTCTACGTGTCAATAAAACCTTGTTTTGAATTATTTCCATCAGCCAATCCTATAAGGATGTTGAGAATTGTTTTCCCGCTCCTTTTTTTTAGCATTTGAAATTGTAATCCACTCTGCCTGACAGGTAATATACTTGTCAAAGAAATAACAGTATTGCTGCGCTTCCTTGGTTTCCTTGATTTCATTTTCAACTGTTGCTGCTTCACACAGTGCCTACAAAGGAACTGGCTTTGATATGATTTCAACAATTGATGTAGTGACAGATTTAATGTCTAGGATTGATGGGCATAGAATAAGTAATCTAAAAACAGTTTTGGAGCATTTTTGTCTCCTACATCTATGCATTGTTTTGACTTTTTGAAAGTAAATTATTGCCATACCTGTAGAAATGTGAATATTCATGCCTATCCTGTGTCATGTGCTCTGGGGTCTTAACTAGCTCGAACAGCAGGCAGTTTTTTCACCAGGAATGAGTGAGATGCCAATCACCTCGCACAGACCATCAAGTGAGCTCCGTGGAGAGACAGAAATCCAGTTCGTTTAAAGAGTCTGGGAACAATCCTCATCGACCCACGCCCCTGAGAGCATAATTTACTTGAGTCAAAAGACTACATACAATTCTGGTTGGTAAGAAAGAAACAAAAAAAAAATTCCTAATTGTCTACTTTTTGAGGGAAGATTTTGAAAAGAAATACCAATCTCAAATTTGTATGGAGGGTAGGGCATCTTTTCCAGTGTTATTATCATTAAGTAAAACTAAAATAAAAACTAAGACTAAAATGTATTATAAAGCAGAAAATGTAACTTAAAATAAATGTTAACTTAAATAAAACATTAAAAAAAAATGCAACTTTTTTTTTTATTTCAGCTAGGTGCCAAGCCATCATGTCTCATTTTCTTTTTTTCTTTTTTTTAACTTTGACTAAAATAACTAAAATGCAAATAAAAATGAATAGAAGGACTATATAGGCACATTAAAAAATATATTAATAAAAATGACAAAAACATACAGCACTGTTACTAAAACTTTATCTACTTAAATAAAATCTAATCAGAATATTAATTAAAAATATATAATAGTACATCAATGATACTAAAGTAACACTGATCCTCTCTTGTTTTTTTCCCCCTGCATATTTAAAGAAATAGGTCACCCCAAAATGAAAAAAACTGTATGGCTTCCTTTTTTCATCCTCATAGACCACAAAAGGAGTTATTTATTGCAGATTGCCTAAGCTGCTTTTTTTCCATGTATAGAACGTTAATGGTGACCACAGCTAATAAACAAGATTATACTTACATTTTGGTCTGCTCCTTTCACAAAGCTATCATATGCCTTCAGTAGACTTCTTGAACCTTCTTCTCTTTTTGTTTTCCATGAGTAAATGGAAATACAGGTTTGGAATGGTTCAATTAGCAGTTTCTGAGTCCCTTGCCCATATGACATATTCAGTATTGTACTGTAAGTCCAAAGTAACTGCTTTTTCCTGCCAGGGTCGAAGGAGAGTTTCATGATTTTTACTTTCTCTCAAAATAATAACTGAATATCTTCCACTTGCATTCTGAGACTGCTTATAATTTGAGGCTTTTAGGAGATTTTTTCCCCCTCTGTTTAGTGCAGTCTGTATAGTGAACTTCTATTGCTTTGTTCACATTTGCACCAAAGTCTGTTTCCGAGATGAACTCCTGAAGGAGTATGATTGTCTGCAATGTGCTGAGAAGAACAAATTCCCTGGACATTTTGATGGTCCATGAGTCATGTTTCCTCTGCTGCTGATTTTCTAGTGTTTTAATGCAGGGCACTTCAGAGAAAACAGTTCTGAGAACAAGACACACTCTGAACATAGGCACTTAGGTGAACCCCCACATGCAAAAGTATGTTGCTTTTATTTGGTACCGTCTTTTCCTTTACTATAGTAGCACTGTCTGTCAGCACATGCCCACACATTCCTCCCTCTAATGTCTTTTCAAGTTCTGAATTCATGAGCGGTAACCGAGAGAAGGTGTAAGAACAGAGAGGCCTGTATGTTCTGCTGTTTGTTACGAATCCTCTATCGCTACAGCGCTCCACTAATCGCTCCTGTCATCTTTCAACAGTCAGGTAACCTGTGGAGTGAAGACAAGCTCCATTGTTATGGGATTGTCATAGTCTGCAACTGTTGGAGAAAGTGTATCAGCAGTCTGCCTGTGCCGCCCAGAGCTTGGACTCTTGATTTGTTGTATCTTAACTTTAAAACCAGATTACTCAAGCACACATTTAGATGTGCAGTCAGCAGATCCTGCCTTCCCACACAAAGGAAAACATAGTCTCCTGATGTTTAAGTGCTAGTCAGTAGAGTTCCTGACTAGAAGATGGTGTAGGAGTGCCTCAAGGCACCATTTTGGGCCCCTTCCCATTGTCGGACTAAACATCATCTTTACATGATTTTCCCACTATGTGTGTGATGATGATAACCCCATGTTCTCATTAAACATTTAGAGTGTCCTCTGGGACATTTTCTACTTCTCTTGTAATATTTTTACCCGCAATTAGTTGTTTCAGGGTGCGTTAGTTTCAATGTCTGCGTCATTGGATAAGATGTTGGTACGTGGGCACATCTATAGAGGAGCTGTCGTATGGACAAGATTACAGAGTCCTGTTTCATTTGAGAGATTGGCTTCAGCACTGGAGTTTTTGTAAATTTGACACGCTCCGTTCCCAAAAAGGCAGCAAATGAATTTTATTTATTGACAGTTTTCTTTGGGAGCCATTTTAGCTAAATATTTAGACGTTTGTGAGACTACCGCAACTACCACCCACATTTTGCAAACCACCTCCATAGTGCTGATAAATATTGTTTTAAATTGAGGGCAGTCTGTGGGAGGATTGCATCGCCAGGGTGTCTTATTATGCAGTTTGTTGAGAGCAGGAGAGAGAACTAGTCGCTGTCACCACTACAGAGCAGAGAGAAGCCCCGGGGGCCACCTGGGAAACGTGGTTGGCGGTGGTGCCTTGAATGTGAATTCATTCCCACTGTCAACACCGGCCCTGTTGAGCATTAAGACACTCCAGTGTGTTTATGTGGGAAGGGGCCGTTTACACGGGAGGTGCATTCCGGAAGCGACTGCCTGTTTTGGCAGCTACTTGTCTGAAATGCTTCACCTCTAGACAGTTTATAGCCATAGAGGAGGGAAGGTCAAATTAAAGCCTCCAGAACCTTCAAAGAAGCATTATTGCTCAGTCACATGATTGAAGGACTTAGAAATGACTTCTAAACCCTCAAAGACATATGCTGCTTCATTTTAAGGAGCTAAACTTTGACAGTTGGCAAACGTTCGGTCAGTACTGGTTTTTAGACTGGAAGAGACCTTCTTGGCTGACTTATAAAAGTGATCAGCACAGTATGAGGCTGGCATGCAACCCTGTAGCAACCTTGCAGACATGACTTTGTTTCTTGGTGACTCCAAATAACCTATGCACCCCGAAACTTGGAAACTGTAGTGAAAGTGAAAGTGAAAGTGACGTGACATGTGGCCAAGTATGGTTACCCATACTAGGAATTAGTGCTCTGCATTTAACCCATCCTTAGTGCACACACACAGCAGTGAACACACACCCGGAGCAGTGGGCAGCCATTTTTGCTGCGGCGCCCGGGGAGCAGTTGGGGGTTCGGTGCCTTGCTCAAGGGCACCTCAGTCGTGGTATTGAAGGTGGGAGAGAGCGCTGTACATTCACTCCCCCCACCTACAATCCCTGCCGGTACGAGACTCGAACCCGCAACCTTTGGGTTACGAGTCCGACTCTCTAACCATTAGGCCACTTCTTCCCCAAAAGGAAGGCAGTCTGAGGCAGTGATTACATGCTGCTTTGCCCATTATTGCTCACTTTAGTGGCTTGCCTGTATTAACACATTTAGAAGCATTGTGAAGAATTACTGTAGCTTGACTTATACCTGAATTAGTCAGTGTTGTTGCTCCCACTTCTCAAAGCACCATTCAGAGTTGAATTGAAAATACCTTTTAAATTCCACTTCAGCTCTTAAATTTAAAATAACAAACTTGATGTGGAATTCCAGTTTGAATATCAGAATGAAGAATTAAAATAAATTGAAATTCATATAATTGTAATTTTTTAACTTTGAATGTTTGCTTGAAAAAGCCTTTTTTTTTAAGTTTAAACAATGGTTCTAAAAGTTCTAAAATTTGTATTTTACTTTTGTGCATCAGGGTATAAGAACACTTCATTTCCCAGAATACATTACCTTTATTAATAATTGCATTTCAGAAGGTTCTTCCTCCTATCATTCCAATTCAACTTTGTGTGGATTGTGGCCAGTTCAATTCAAATTCACATTCCTGGATTGAAAGTGAGCCAAATTTTTGATTCTGAAAATTATCTGTATGTAGATGTAGGTCCCACTTTTCCCCCATGCATGTGCCAGCTACAAATGACACTCCCTTCCAGGAGCCGATATTTCGTTCAGTTTGATAAATTGAGCCTCCATTTCTTCAGTTAGATTGGTTCAGTTAATCAATACCAATTAAATGTTGCTGTCAAAGCTGACTTGCAGTTTTGTTGGTCCCAACTGGAGATTCATCAGCACTTTTTTCAACTTGTTAGTGGTTTCAATATAGGCCACACTCCTGAGAGCTTTAAATGAGTTTTACTAATTGATGAAATGTTTGAGTCATGAATTTGAGTGCAATCCAGCAGTCTTTTATTTTCAAAATGCCATCTAATGAATATTCATGTGTCAATTTCTTAACCTGATAATGTTATTTTTCTCATTATGTGAAGAAGG